TCCACGGCACTCAACAACAACAACAATATTCCAGAAGTTGTGCTACATCCTTCATGAATAATTACCCATTTTTCAACGTTGGCTTCCATTAATTATTTATAGCCTTCATATTGGTTATTTTAACATGATACTGATATCAATTACTGGCACCTATTACTTTGAAATCCTGGTGTGGTGCTGTAGGATAAACACTGCACTGCTAACCACAAGATCCGCTATTCAAACCCAGCCACTCCTCAGAAATCCTACACAGGGTGGTTACAGTTGGAACCACCTTAACAGCACTTAACAACAACTATGTGGCCAAATGGTACCTGGTGGTGCAAGTGTTAAGTGTTCATCTACCAACTGAAAGGTTGGCAGTCTGAACCCACCACAGTGATTCCTATATAGAAAACCTAGAAAGTTCTACTCTGTTACTAGGAGTTACTACGAGTTGAAAATCAGTTTGACAACCAGGTGCCAGGTACAGTGCTGATGGTTTTATTGTATTATTAAGTGCCATCAAGTTATTTCCAATTCATAGCGACCTTGTATAGGGTTTCCAAGGAGTGACTGGTGGGTTCAAACCACCAACCATGTCATTAGCAGTCCAATACTTATCCTATAGCACCATACTAAAAAAAAAAGAACTGCTTTATACATATTATTTAATGGTCAAAATAGTTATTTCCAATGTTATTATTTACAATTCTAAAACAGGAAAAGTGAATTTCAAAAAAGTTAATGTATTCAAGATATATAGTCACTTTAAACTACTGAGAACTAGAATGTGAAAACATTTCCAGGTTTGAAAACCAGCTTTGAGCATCTAAAGAATGAGCAATTGTAATAATATGATTTAAACAATCAAAAGAAGATATTTATGGACTATGGCTCTGTTGGTTACATATTTAAATTATCAGATAATTGACATAAGTATGAAAATAATATTCTTTTAAAAAGTAAAAGGAGCTTTATTTTTAAAAGCCCATCACAAAGAGTAATAGTACTGAGTTCACTTACCTAATTTCTTGTTTTGCTTAGGCTGTGAAGAAGGTCCATATTCATCTCTTCTATTAGAAGAAACAGCGGCTTCATTACCAAATGTGTTCACTTCACTGTTAGAGTTCACAGAGTCAGAGCCATCAATTTTCAGTATTTCTTTAAGCATCCGTGTTCCCTTCTTTTTGGAGAATGATTGAGATGGAGACGGTGGCAGGAGAAGGAAAAGTTAAATTAGATTTATAAAACTATTTACCCTTCTTTTGAAAGGAGCTCTGGCAGTGTAGTGGTTACGAATCGGGCTGTGAACCGCAAAGTCAGCAGTTCGAAACTACCAGCTGTTCCGTGGGACAAAGATGAGGCTTTCTGCTCCCATAAAGATTTACAGCCTGGGAAACCCTGTACAGGGTCGCTATGAGTCGGAACCAACTCCACGGCACGTAACAACAACAACAACAACAACCCTTCTTTTGAAGTAATTCATTGTTAAAAATTAATATGTTCACTACATTCAAGGAGGTAGACCAATAGCCAAGAGTTGAAAAAAGAAAATATTCACATTTCATGGTACAGAAAATATGCTTAACCTTCTCAACTTGTGACCCAATGACCTAATAGCAATGTTTGAAAAGCAGAGGAGCTATGGTCTAAAGAAAAAGATGGCTAAAGTGCCTGGGGCAGCCTGGTTTTCTTCACAGGTTAATAAGCATGCAACACAGAACTTCATGTAAGGAAAAGAGTTTAAGAATTGCATGGGATACTTATGCATAACCATCAGCTGCAAAACTACCATACAACAGACGTTCCTACATGATACGAACCATAGCAAAAGACTGTGGTGACAAATGTTCTTCACTTGCAGGCTCTTTGTGATGAGATGACTGTACTTCATTTTCTTTGGAGATATTCAAGGATGCTAAAAAGTTCTCGATTCCAGGACTAGGCTAAAAGGAGAAACATTTTTTGCATGAACATGAAAGTACAAAGATAAAAGTATAATAGTTTTATGTATAAAATAGTCATTTATTTTGACCCAATAATCTTCTAAAGTATTGTTATTGTTAAGTGCCATTGAGTCGGTTCCAACTAATAGAAACTTTGCAAAGAGTTTCTGAGGCTTTAAATCTGCGGGAGCAGAAAGTCTTATCTCTCTCATCCGTGGAGTGGCTGGTGGGCTAGAACCATGGACCCACTAGTTGCTCCTTGGAAACCCTATACAAGGGTTCTCAGTTCAGTGCTTACCACATGGAGTCACTGCACTACCCTCTGAAGTGTTGAGAGTTTGGGAAAATAAATGGAATAAGTGGTCTTTTACCTTATCCATAGGATTTGGATAACCAGTCACAATCTTTTGGGTTTCTGCTACTTCTGGACTTTCATTTCTCTTCAGGAGTTTAATGCTACATTTGGCAGACCCTTCAAACGTCTATAAAAAAGTTAAGAATAAGCTTTTTCTTTTCCTTTTGGATAAACAAAATTTATAATTACTACTTAACAGTGTTTTTAAAAAATTTCTGCCAATTTTTAAAATTACTATTTCCCTTTTTATATCATAAGGAATAAAAAAAAGGGGAGCCTGTAAATTTTCATGGAGAAAAATTGCACCTTTAACTTCAATAATCTTGAAATGAAATTTAGCAATTTCTTCCAATTACGTATGTAGGCACTAAACCACAACAGTATTAGCGGTAGCAGTGGTTCTGGTTATACTTCAACATAATCAGTTTTCTTTCAAATTTAGATATTTTATTCTGAGAAAGATTTTCAGGCTTCAGTAGACTGTAAAAAAAGTCCAGGGCACAAAAAGTTTATAAATTCTTTCTCTACAAGGGAAGGAAATTACAGTATACAAGTTTCTAGAGGCCTTAAACGTCATGTAATTTCAACACCATTCACTGGTGTCTAAAATTACTGGGTTCTATTTACTTGGGGCCAACTGCAGAAAAGACAATCAATTGATCATATATGAAAGTTCAAGTTAAAGATGAAGAAAATAAAAACTAGCTCACCAGAGCTAAAGCAGGACCGTAATTATATTCCACCTGAATTCAGAGATCATCTCGAAAATTGATTTCACCCACTGAAGACAAGAAGGGTTGCAGCAGGACATCAAGGACATTATATATGAAAAAAGCAAAATGTCATTAAAAAACCAGGAAAGAAAGAAAAGACCCAAATGGACGCCACAGGAGACTCTGCAACTTTCTCCTGAATGTATACAAGCTAAAGCAACTAAAATAAACGATTAAAGAGTTGAACAGACATTTCAAAAGGCTGCCCAAGGAGACAAAGTAAAGTATTATAATGAAATATGCGAAGGCCTGAAGTTACAAAATCAAAAGGCAAGAATACACTCAGCATTTCGTAAGCTGAAAGAACTGAAGAGTTGCATTACTGAAGGATTCTATGGACAAAATATTAAATGATGCAGGAAGCATCAAAAGAAGATAGGAAGAATACAGAATTGCTATACCAAGAAGTGATTGACATTACTACTTTAGGAGGTAGCATATGATCAAGTACTGATGGTACTGAAGGCATTAGAGAAAAACAAGGCTTCAGGAATTGAAAGAATACAAATCAAAATATTTCAACAAACTGATGCAGCCCTGGAAGCACTTACTAGTATATGACAAGAAATTTGGAGAACAGCTACTTGGCCAACTGGCCAGAATAAATCCACGTTTGTGATCATTCCAAAGAAAGGTGACCCTATAGAATGTGAAAATTATCTAGCAATATCATTAAAATCACACGTAAGTAAAATTTTGCCAAAGAAAACTGAAAAACAGCTGCAGTGGTATGACAGAGAGTTGCCCCAAATTCAAGCTGGAGTCAGAAGAGGATGTGAACAAGAGATATTTTCGTTGATGTCACATGGATCTTGTCTGAACGCAGGGAACACCAGAAAGAAGTTTACATTTTCTTTATCAACTATGCAAAGGCATTCAACTGTGTGGATCAAAACAAACTATGGACAACATGGTGAAGAATGCATCCTCTAGAACACTTAATTGTAAAGATGTATCTAGACCAAGAGGCAGTCGTTTTAGTAAAACAAGGCAGTACTGAACAGTTTAAAATCTGGAAAGGTGTGAGGCAGGATTGTATCCTTTCATCAAATTCATTCAATTTGTATGCTGAGCAAATAATAAGAGAAGCTGGACTATATGAAGAATGTGGCATCAGGATTGGAGGAAGGTTCATTAACAACCTGCAATATGGAGAGAATATAATATTGCTTGCTGTAAAAGTGCTTATTGATGAAGATCAAAGAATATAGTCTTAATATAGATTATAAAGCAATATAAAGAAAGCAAAAATTCTCACTACTGGATTAATGAATAACATCACAAAAAATGAAGAGAAAGTCAAGGATTTAATTGGACTTGGATTCACAATCAATGCTTATGGAAGCAGCTGTCTAGAAATCAAATAACATATTGCATCAGGTAAATCGCTGCAAAAGACTTCTGTAAAGTGTTAAAGAGCAAAAATGTCACTTTGCAAATAAAGTGCACTTGACCCAAGTTATGGTATTATCAATCACCTCATATTCATGAGAAAGTTGAACAATGAATAATGAAGACCAGAGAAGAATTGATGCCTTTAAATATTGGTGAAGAATATTGGATATACCATATATCGACTGCCAAAAGAATAAGCAAATCTGTCTTGGAAGAAGTACACCTAGAAGAATGCTTCTTGGAAGTCAGGGTGGTGAGACTTCCTCTCTGCTTTGAATATGCATACTATTAGGAAGGACCAGTTCCTTGAGAAGCACCTCATGCTTGGTAAAGTAGAAGGTCAGAAAGAAGAGGAAGACACTCAAGGAGATGGATTGTCACAGTAGCTACAACAATGGGCTCAAACCTGGTAACAACTGTGAGAATGATGCTGGACCAAGCAGCGTTCTGGTATGTTGTACACAGGGTAACTACGAGTCAGAACCAAATTGACAGCACCCAACATGGCAATAATTTATGCTAATTTAATTTTTAAACTTTGTATTAAACTATGAACACAGAAAAGTGCACATAAGTAAGTACACTGGTTGATAAATATTATTAGATACTAATTTATTCTTTGATTATAAAATTTATGTATGTTGTTGTTAAGTACTCTAGAGTCAGTTCTGACTCATAGTGAGGTTTCCAAGGCGCATCAGAGGGTTTCCAAGGAGCAACTGGTGGGTTTGAACTGCCAACCTTGTGGTTTGCTGTATATATTCCTATTCAAACAGTAGAGATTATATACAATGAAACATAAATGATTTATGCTTCTCCCTCAATATTCTAACTCCCCAGAATTATTAGTTAACCCTATCAAGTTTGTTAGGTTGTTCTATATACTTTCATGGTATATGCAAACATATATTTTCATATGCTATCTTCAGATACACACACATACACACACACATATACTTATCTAAATATACCTATAAAGGAGCCTTGGTGGCTCATAAGTTAAACTCTTGGCTCCTAACCAAAAAGTTGGTGGTCTGTCTTCACCCAGTTGCTTTGCAGCAAAAACACCTGGTGATTTGTTTTGTAAAGATTAGAGTCAAGAAAATCCTATGAGTGGGGTTGTTCTACTCCGGCACATGGAATCATTATAAGTCAGATTTGACTCCATGGCACCCAACAACAACAGGTGAGAAGAGACTATTTTATCTCCATTTAAATGATAAAGCAATTGAGGCTGTGAGAAGTAAAGTGAATTTCTTAAAATCAGTCTTAAAATTATTATAAGGTAGAAACAGGACTTAAAACCAGATGTTTCTAGTTCCTGAACTCAAGCCATTCAATTTTCAATTTAAGTGGTTTTCATCCTACATTCAATAAACTGCATGTAACATATCTTATAATCTGGATAAAAGAGTTACATATTTAAGTTACACACCACAAAATGATTAGTTATATTTTTTAGAATGGCTACTGGAAATTTGATGCTAAGAAATTTCAACTAAAATATAGAAATGGCAAATGTTGTTATATACTTTTATAATAATTTTTAAAAAAAAAAAGAAAGCTTACCTGTTTATTTGACATTTTTTGTGATCGACACTCATTTTTAGGACTCTTACATTCTTCTTTAACTAGAGACAAGATAATAAAAATTTTGGTAAATGAAAGAGCTTTTTACACACCAATTAAATTTACTACATATTTACCATACCAAGGCACTGAATTTAAAATTCAGAAAATGTCAAGAGAACACAGTACCTGATCTTGATCTTGAGGAATCTAAAAACCTAGTTGAAGTGGAAAAGAGATACCCCACAGACAATGAAGTAAAAATGAAGTAAAAGGAAAAGTGGTATCTGAATTAGGCCTTGAAGGATGGAAGGCTTTCAAAGGGCAGAATAGAAAGCTAATTATTTTAGGCAATATGAACACTAGGAGAAAAGACAAGGAAGCAGCAAGCATGGAAACATGGTTATGGATCTCTACACACAGCAGTTTAGGTTGAGGTTAAAGAGCACAACACGAAGAGAGCAGGATAGAAACATAATCTGCAAGTTACCAGAGTATGGACTTAAACTGGTGGTGGTGTTGTCAAGTGCCATCAAGTCTATTCTGACTCATAGTGACCTCAATGGCTTATTAACCACAGACATAGTTTAAACAGGTAATGAGATGTGTGCTTTAGGTTAATTAAATTATGACTGTGGCCTACAGGACAGAAAGAAAAAGAAGACTGTGGGGGGATGGTAGAAAAACATAAAGGATGATTGTGAGAGTGACTGTGGAGATAATCTATATTATTTAACAAATCACAATATGTGGGGGATGAGGGCATGCAGTTGGATAGGTGAATTTGAAAAGTATGGTTTGTACAAAGTGTATGATCTGTTGAATGTAAAGCTGAAGATCTTGCCTGTAAACCTTCACTCAATTCACAAATTTTTTTGTTAAAGTATGGATTGCAATCATTATGTAATATTTTATTATACTGAAAGTACTAGATCAAATAATCACACAATTTATGTTACTACTTTCTATCATTGGCCACCACTCGTTTGTCAGTTTGTCACACTGTGGTGGCTTGTGTGTTTCTGTGATGCTTGAAGTTATGCCACTGGTATTTTAAGCACCAGCAGAGTCACCCATGGTGGACACATTTCAGCTGAGCTTGTAGACTAAGACAAACTCAGAAGAAGGAGAGCTGGACTACTTTTGAATGTTCAGTCACTTAAAATCTTATGAATAGCAGTGAAATACTGAATACTGGAACATGATGAATAGCACCAGAATATTGTTCAGATATAGTGCCAGAAGATGAGCCCCTCAGTTTGGAAGGCACTCAAGATATGACTAGGAAAGAGCTGCCTCCTCAAAGCAGACCATGATGATGCAAATCGAGTAAAGCTTTTGGGATCTTCATTTACTGATGGGGCATAATTCAAAATGAGGAGAAACAACTGCAAACATCCTTTAATAACTGGAACATGGAAGGTACAAAGTATGAACCCAGGAAAATTAGATGTTGTCAAAAGTGAAATGGAATGCATAGAGACTGATATCCTAGACATTAATGAGCTGAAATGGGTTGATACTGGTCATTTTGAATCTGACAGTCATATGGTTTACTATGTTGGGCAGGACAAATTCAAGAGGAATGAAATCACAATCATTGCTTAAAAGAACATTTTGAGAGCTATCTTGAACTTCGATGCTGTCTGTGATAGGATAATATCCATGAGTCTACAAGGTAGACCAGGTAATACGACTATTAATAAAATGTATGTACCAACTACTAAAGCCAGAGATGATAAAACTGAAAAATTCTATTAACTTCTTCAGTCTGAAATTGATCAAACATCAATCAGGATGTATTTATAACCACTAGTGATTGGAATGCAAAGGTTGGAAACAAAGAAAAAGGAACAACAGTTGGAAAATATGACTGATTCAAAATGGCCAATATCAATCCATGTCAGCGCACTAATGTCTAGGATATCAATCCTTATGTATTCCATTTCATTTCTGACAACATCCAACTTTCCTAGATTCATACTTTGTACATTCCATGTTTCAGTTATTAATAGATGTTTGCAGCTGTTTCTCCTCATTTTGAATTATGCCCCATCAGCAAATGAAGGTCCCAAAAGCTTTACTCCATTTGCACCATCATGGTCTGCTTTGAGGAGGCAGCTCTTTCCCAGTTATACCGTGAGTGATAGAAATGATGCTTAGAGATAGCATGATAGAATCTGTAAACAACATTAAGATAATTATATACATTGTTGCTGTTGTTAAGTGCCGTCGAGTTGGTTCCGACTCATAGCAACCCTGTTTCCAAGGAGCAGCTGGTGAGCTTGAACCGCCGACCTTGCAGTTCAAATGGCTTTGCAGTCTGGCGTATTTACCCAGAGTGCCACACCAGGACTCCAATTATATGCATGGACTTCATGAAATTGAATACACAGTAATCAAAGTGACTACATCTGTGGAAAGTGACAGTGGAAAAGCTCCATTTCAGCAGCAAAGGCTAGGGGCAGATTGTGGGATAGACCATCAACTGCTCATATGCAAGTTCAAGCTGAAGCTGAGGAAAATGTAAACAAGTCCATGAGAGCCAAAATATGACCTTGAACATATCCCACCAGAATCAAGAGATCAACTCAAGAACAGATTTGATGCATTAGACATTCATGTGGCATATCAAGAATATCATACAGGAAGAAAGCAAAAACCATTAAGAAGACAGGGAAGAAAGAAAGACCAAAATGGATGTCATAAACTCTGAAACTTGCTCTACAGTGTAGACATGCTTAAGCAAATGGAAGAAATGAGGAGGTACAGAAACGAACAGAAAATTTCAAAGGGCAGCTCAATAAGAAAGTCAAATATTATCAAAAATGTGCAAAGACCTGGAGTTAGAAAACCAAAAGGGAAGAACATGCTCAGCATTTCTCAAGCTGAAAGGACTGAGGAAAAATTCAAGCCTCAAATAGCAATATTTAAGGATTCTTTGGGCAAATATTTAACGATGTAGAAAGCATCAAAAGAAGATGGGAGACATACATAGAGTCACTGTACCAAAAGAAATGGTCGATGTTCAACCATTTCAAAAGGCAGCACATGATCAAGAACCAACAATGCTGAAGGAAGAAGTCCAAGGTACACACTGAAGGCATTGGAAAAGAACAAAAGTCTGCCTCTTTTTTGCTGACCCTTCACTTTACCAAGCATGATGTCATTCTCTAGGGACTGGTCCCTCCTGATAATGTCCGAAGTATGAGAGATGAAATCTGGCCACCCTGGATTCTAAGGAGCATCTGGCTGTACTTATTCCAATACAGATTTGTTTGTCCTTCTGGAATTCCACGGTACTTTTAATACTCTTCCCTAATAGCATTAACTCAAATGCATCAATTCTTCTAGACTTTCTTATTCATTGTCTAAGTTTTACATACCCATGAAGCTATTGAAAATATCATGGGTTGGGTCACGTCAGTTTTAGTCCTAAAACCTGACATCTTTGTTCTTGAACACTTTAAAGAGGTCTTGTGTAGCAGATTTGCCTAATATAATATGCCCTTTGGTTGATTTGACTGCTGTTTCCATGAGTGTTAATAGTGGATCCAAACAAAATCAGCCTTTACAACATCTCTTCTGCATTTATCAAGGTGTTATTTATTAGTCCATCGTTGAGGATCTTTGCTTTCTTTACATTGAGGTGCAATCCATACTGAAGACTGTGATCTCAGATCTTCATCATTAAGTATTTTAAGTCCTCTTTGCTTTCAGAAAGCAAGGCTGTATCATCTGTATATGGTAGGATGTTAATGAGTCTTCCTACAATCTTGTCACCACATTCTTCATATAATCCAGTTTCTCAGATTATTTGCTCAGTATATAGAGTGAGTAAGTATGGTGCAAGAATACAACCCTAGCACACAGCTTTATTGATTTTAAACCATCCCGTGTCCCCTTGTTCTGTTCAAACAACTGCCTCTTGGTCTAAGTACTGGTTCCTCATGAGCATAATTAAGTATTTTCTAGCCCACACAGCAAGTAAAGCTGAGTGACTTTACATAGCTATCTTGTTTGCAGAGTGAGGTGCCTTCAGGCCCTTAACTGGAGGAGCTAGGTTTTCTGACCCACAGAGCTAGAGCCAAGTGCCTTCAAGTTTTGGTGGAGTGGTATGCTCTAAAATTGCTTTGTAACACTGGCCAGGCAGAAAGAGGCCAGCCTGAGGAAAGGCTGTCTTAACTACAACTGTGCCCTGATCATTTCTGACCATTGATTGTAACCTGGCAACTTCCCTAATAAATCCCCTAACTGTGAGTATGGTGCCTGTGTTCTGTGTAGCCACTGTAATGAATTATCCAACCCATTTGAATAGTGAATGCTGTGGAAGAGATGGCTAGCATCAACATTTTTATAGTTACTTTAGCAAAATTTACCTCAACAAGCAGTTTGTCAGGGAGCATCAACAAATATAATGTTGTAAGGACCTCCAGAATTTTTCTCTCCCATAAAAGTAATAAGAAAACTGGCATATACTGTCAGGATCTACTTACTCAGAACCATGGCAGTGAAGAAGGGACTAGTCACTGGAGAAGGATATTATGTTTGCTAAGGTGGAGGGTCAGAGAAAAAAAGGAAGACCCCAGTGAGATAGATTGGCCAAGTGGCAGCATCAATGGGCTCAAGCGTGGCAACAATAGTGAGGCTGACCCAGGATTGGGCAGTGTTTTGTTCTGTTGTGCAAAGGGTTGCTATGAGACGGTATTGACTCAATGGCATCTAACAACAACAACAACAACAATGGAAGTGAATTATTAGGTTTCACAAATCTGAGGAATGTTTATTTATGAAAAAAGAATCTCAGTAAGAATAGTAAGTGCTGCAGTGTTTTAACTTATCCTAGTCTCTTCCTTCACTTTCCAGATCCACAACTGCCTTGAAAAATGACATCTGCCATTCACAAAGAAAACCAGTATCATGAAAGTCATCAAAGAAACCATAATAAGGCTGGATCTCTTTCAAAGTTGTTATTCACAAAGAACTGTCATCATTTGACTTGTCTGGGCGTTTCCTGGAAGACATCATAAGCAATACTGTGCATTTGACCTCATTCAGAGTT